TATAATTTTATATAATTTTATATAATTTTATATAAAATTACATATAAAATATTTTTTCTCAGGTATATTAAAAATTTAACAAAAATATGCGCATATATTTGTACCATGTAATATTATATACGCGATAAGTGCGTTATTTATTCAGATTCCATACCTGTCTACGTCGCCGTAATTGTTCCACCAATGCAACGGTTCCGCCATTACGCGCACTGAACGCTTCTTCACTCACTCGCGCAAACCGACCGAAAACTCGCAATTTACACCAAATTATCAACACGGCGATCTTTCGTGAAATCGCGGGACTTCCGGCGATCAATTTGCACCCGCGACGTACTTGAAATGAAAAAAAACTAACGAGTAAAACGACGCGAAACACCACGTGAACGGAACTACGCACCGATGTGGACGCGCGACGCGATTGGACTGAATCACTAAACTACTGAAATGCAAGATTTGAATCGCGCGAATCGCGCCAACTTCACGCCGCTACGCGAAAACGAAAACTATTCCGCCATTCTTATTCCGAGAAATATCAACGATCTCAATCGCGATCAATTATTTTACGATGATATATTGTATGTCGATTAATTAATCTACCGTCTCCGATACTTTTGATGCGGGCAACGCTAATAATTAATAATTGATCGACAATTAAAGATGCAAATATCTGTAATGCAAGGACGAGGGAATTGAGAAATGGCCAGAATATTTCGATTAGAATAGCGTATAGTATATGAGCGTATTATCGAAAAACAATGTCAAACAATTCGCGATCGCATAGATTAATTAGCACTCCACGTAATTTTAAGGCACGACTCTAATTAGAGATTCACGTTATCGTATGAATTACAGGATTGATTTTCGGAGCAAGTAAACACAGTACGATCACGCGCGTCCGAACTACGTAAGTAATGTATAGTCGCGACGTGAATATCGGAAGGAAGGGGTGGGGAGAGGGAGAGAGAAAGCGGAAGATCACCGCTGTGTTCAAAATAAACAAAAGACAAACTGTTCACGCTCGCATTTCTGACGATACATCTAACTGCGTCGATAATAAAACTGTTGAAAATTGAAATGTAATAATGGTACGTGGATAAAATATGATTGCATATAATTTAATATAATTAATATTAATTAATATATTCTAAAAAGTCCTAATAGCATATTCAATGCTACACCTTATTAGTGTATTGCTGCGTTTTGATACAAATGTGTAAACCTATATTATTAATATAATAATGTAATTTGTACTTGAATATTTCTTAAAATTAATTAAACAGCGAAAGTACGTTATAGATAAAATATTATATTGTTAAGAAAGAATAGTTATACTCTCGTGTATCTTCAATCTAATTAGCAATTCTTTGTAATAATTGAAATTACGTTTTACATTATATAATTTTAATTTAATTTTCTCGAATGTGTTATTAACGCAAGTAATTTAAATTTTTAACGTTTGATTTTTTTATGCTATAGATAAATAGAACATTGAATTAATTGTCTTTGATCCTAAAAAAAATATAATAGGAAATAATTCTAAATATTTTATTATTATTTAATACTTGATAATTTTAGGTGATTAACATAGAAATGACGGAAGGAATAAAGTAGAAATTCAAAATGCGGTAGCCGTGAAATTTTGTAATTATATTTTTCAATATAAGTTTTGTGGCAGTACATTATAAATAGTTTAAGTGCATTTACGATAATGATGTGTGTTGCTTAATAATCTCGAATAGTTGGAACAGTAATAAAATAGAAATTCGTATAGTACCGCATCAAGTATTGCATGGACATCGATGCTCAACTATGTAAGAAATGTTCATATTGCAATTTATTCACTCTCTAAAAAAAGTGTAAGAATGAAATTCGTATAAAGTTGTATCTGAAAATCCCGGAATCGCAAATCAAGGTCTCAAATAATTCAAACATAGAATTCTATTAAAAATTATAACAAATAAAATTTTTAACGCGTAATAAAACAATATTAATAATATTACGTTAATTATTTCATAAATTTAAATACGTTTCGCCATTTTCCGATTAATTAGGCGATTAATCGAGACTCAACGGAACTTATTTTACGAATAATTTCAAGAATTATTGGAAATTTTATTAATAATATTCGTACAATGCATATTGAGAAAATAAACATAAATTCGTAACATATTGACGTAAGATATTGCATTTTTCTTTTATTCTATTCCTGCAAATCGTAAACGAAACAGATGTAGCTAAATTTGGAGAATAGAATTGTATAATATCGATAAAAGATTTGCTTGTCAATATCGTATCTATATATATATGTATATACTATATGTATAATATAATAATATATAATATAATATAAATAGATAAAGTTACAATATGCATCTTAATTTTTGGCGTAAATCACGTTTAAAACCTACAAACTACCGTAAATTGCGCGCAGATCGGTATGCTTATTACATTAAGAACAATATAACAAAACAAGAACGAGAAATAAAAAAAGTAATTATTACCGTTTATTAACAAATTCTAAATATCAGAATCCTATAATAGGAAACGCGAATAAATGAATGACGGGCGAACGAATCACAGTAATATTATTTTTATCATTTCACGAGTAATCAAGCCTTACACACACGTCATTACAATTATGTACAATTTGTCGACAGACATCATACGAGCGCGATACAAAAATCGTCGGAAATCGCTGCAGCAAAAGTGAGACCACAGATTAGCAATGTTCGAGCGACAAAGAGCGCGATTATGATTCTGATAATTTTCATTTGATAAAGTTGAGTCAAGACTTGATCGAGTCTCGAAATTTCACAAAACATTATCCTTTTGTTATTTTTGAAAATTCTAAATTAAAAAAATTTTAAACTTCGACTTTAAATAAATAATTGCATGCACTTGAAAATGACTCATTATATAATAATAGATTTCTTTGTTCTTTTTTTTTCCAAAATATGCTCTTTGCACTAATTTGATAAAACCTATTATAAATTTGCGAAAGAATATTTTCCATTTAGAAATAAAAACGACAGTCAATCCTTGCCTTCACCTTATCAACATTTACAAAAATAATTTTAATAATAATCATCTTTCTTTTTCTGCAACGCATGCACTCATTCGTCAATTTCTCAGTGTCACATTTTATTTATTGCTACAACGCGGCTCCTTTACAAAAATAATTATCTTCTCGCCTTTTTTTGAATAATCAATGTGCACTACTCTTATCCAGCATCCCAAAATCGCCCAATTCGTCGCCCTTTGTCTTCCGTTGCAAAAATTCTTATGTTATTAATACCAATTGCTAATCGCTAATCGCTCGAAAATGAAGTTTAATCCTCCTAGTGATTATTCTTTATCTTAACCCTTTCGATCTTACAGTGCACTCTTTATGGAACTACTCGCGATATAACTTTCACTTTTAAATTTCTTTCGTTTAAAATAAAACATGTAAATATCAGTATAAGTTAAGAATTGCTATTAACTTTCACGCCAATACGAATCCTATTGAAGTCTCTTTCACGTCATGAAACCGAAAGGGTTAATTGAATACTTCATCCATTTGCCTACAGCTAGACTTACATAGACATCTGATATAAAATAATCTACTTAAATGCATTTGGCATGTTTTGTTCGTAATTCCAAATTCGTCCGTTTCGATCAATCATCATCACTATCGAGATCCATTATTATCTCAATGCTATATTGACATAGTCATCTTCAACTGTCGGACGATTAAGGACTGATTACATTATCATCGGTTAACACTGTCGCGCGAGATTAATTATTATTCTTACTCTAACTAAAAAGATAATATCTAAAAAAGGACGAATTGCAACTGGGACTTTAATAGCTAGCAAGTTCTCCAGATTAACTCTAGAAGTTAATACTGGTAAATGTAATTTTTGCGCAGATATAAATTTCAATTTAGTTTTATTTTTAAAACTCTCTTACACTTCGCGATTCTATATCCGTCTTTGGTCTTTCCTCTCCTCTCTCAGCTATTCAATCTTCAACAGTAATAAAAATGTATGGAGATATACATAAATTTAAAAAAGTTTTGCTTTGTTTTGTATTTTTCTGTGTTGGATAATCTACAAAATTTAAGAATTTTTTTCCAGCATCAATGAAAAGTATAACTTTTTAACAACTTTTCTGTACAACCATTTTTCAATGCTATTTTATCGATAGTAAGTTTTAAAAATACCATAACTCTCTAATTGCTTATTTTGTATTTAATATTTTGTTTTCATCGTAACTTACAACAAACTAAAAATTTTCAGAAAAAACATAAGTTCTTGTAGCCATAATGCTTTTCGTCAATCACAAAGTCCAAAATCTAAGAGAATTATGAGATCGTTTTTCTTCCTTCGCAAAATGTTTAATGTCATTCTGTCTAGTAATTTTAATTTAATTTAATTTAAAGTGAAACTTTTCTTCACGTATGTACACACGGTTATTAAGAAAATAGTTTTCAGTTTTAATGAGGCTCGTCTTTTTGATCGCTACACACCAAAAAAATTGTCAACCAACTTAATAGATTTTAATCAATGTTAATAAAAACCGCAATTGCTTCATTTTCAAAGCGCTTAGACTTTGGATTTAGTCATTCTGATGCGTGAATTAGTCGTGCATCATCCACACATCCTCAAATCACTTTGACTTTTCGCTACTTATTATCACTTCGTCCTGGTTGTGTTTAATACGCCACTTGATCTTACGTGAACATTTTGCCTGTTGGATTTACTCCTGCTAGCGATCGTTGAGGCATCGATCACTGATCTTCGGCTCCTATCTATTCTCTCCACTTTCTCTACTCTTTCCATCTCTTCTTCGTTCCTTCCCTTGCTCATCTCAGATTTTCCGATCTTTGGTTCGTTCTCGTATGTCTTCCTCAACGGCTGCGGCGTATAATACAGACTGAATCGCTTTGTCCGTGGTAGTGATTTCTGTCTCACTTCGTCGCGTAATTCATCCGTTGAGCTGAACTTCCGCGTCGTGACTTTATCGCCGCCGCCACTGTTGCCGACTTCTTCGGACGATCTCTTCGTTGTGCACGGAGAAAAGCAGCTGTATCTTTTGCTCTTGACATTTCTCGAATCTATCTGACTCTTCCTAGTATTATATCTTTCATGCCGCAACTTTACTGGCTCGTTCTTTGCGCATTTACCTATTTCTTCAACTCTACGGAACGGACTATTGCAATTCTTTTTATCAATCTCATTATCCAATTTAGGTAATCTCAATGCGTTCCAAACAGCTATTCTACCGGTCTTCACTATCCTTACAGGAGACGTATTCTGATCCTGATTATTCTCTAACTTCGAAGAAATCTGTGAGGAATGATCCTTAAGACAATTGTTTCGATTTGTATACCGGAAACTCACATTCTCAAAGCTATCAGTCGACTCCATGCTTTGCGTCGAGCTCGATCTTTGCCCACGTGCCAATCGTGCGAATTGAATGTTTACAAAACTATCAGAAGTCTCAATGTCATTACCAGTGGAACTGTTGCCAGTCAGGCTATCACTTGATGTCGACGCAGTCGCGTTGCTGTTGCGAAAATCATCGCTGTCGAATCTGTTTTCGCGATTCACCTCATACAAGTTCTTTTGGTTGAATTTACTTTGCCGATTCATAACGCTAGATTTATTCGTCGATTTCAGCGTTTCACAATTCGAGTGGAGATATCCTGGTTCTTTCATCGAATTTCCGTTTTTCCGATCGCCTCGATGATTCGTAGAAATTGCGACTGTTTTCTCGGCGATTTCATTGCAAGGAATCGGTGAATTGCTGCGATAATTGCATATGTTCAAATTCTCTGGAATGCTATTGATCGACGAAGTAGCACTTTGCGATTTGAGACGGCGTCGTGACATTTTACTATCATTCAAATTGTCTATTAAATCATGCATTGATCGGCTCAAACTATTGATATCTTTCAGATAGTCGGAACTAAGAATTACTAAATCATTTTCGTTGCTATTGCCGTTGGCAAAATCGATTTCATCGTGATTTCGCTCATCCAATTTTCTCTCTGCGTCGATAAACTGCGGTACGTTGCAATAATCAATATTATTTTTCCACTCGACTCTTGTCTTGGTATCGTCATTCTGTCGTTGACTGCGCTGCTTCTTGAAATCGAACTCGAAGGTGGCCATTCTTATCGGCTTACACTGCTGATTCCAGTATTGCTCCGCCGGTGCGTCGGGTGCTGTTGTTGCGGTCTGCTCGCCTCCTAGAAAGCTCTGCTGATATACAGAGGCGGGGCAAAAGAAAAGAAAAAGCACTGCTACAGATACAGCAAACCACTACAAAAGCTTTCTTATTCTTGTGTTTGAAATAAAGCCGATAGAGGAGGCAAGTAAGTTTCCGATCGCACCACGCTCGTAACATGGAAATTATGTTCAGTACATAAAGCAAAAAATAACGAATTATTATTTCTTAAGTGATTACATTTCTATATAAGAATATAGAATATTTATAATATATAATCTTTTTTAAGAATATAAATTCTATAGTTAAGAATATAATTCTATAGATGTTCATTATTTCCTTCTAAAAAACTATATAAAATTCTTTATGGATTGAGTGATAATAAAATTGAATAAGTTCAAAACTCGAAGTGATTTTGTTACAGATAAAACTTATTATTGGATTTCTAAGTGTAACACTTATAAACCCGCTGAACTTTTTTTCCGTGTAGTGTGGCATTACGAACCGGTGAGAGCTGAAGGAATCGTGCCCAAAATAATAAATGCAATAGCGAACGTGTCGTGTAGCCGATAATCATCTGATACTAATCTCATCTTAAATTACTGTGAGAGAGTGAGAAAGGGGTTTTAAGCCATGCGGGTGCGACAATGCGGTAATTTTTCTAACTTGTGAGGTATAATAATAATGTTGTATGTCAGTGACAGTTACCGCGAGCCATGGATGATCTAGTACGTCCTCTGCGCTAAAACGAAGTTCTGGTTGTGCCTGCAGCATATTCGAGATGAGCTGCTTCGCAGAATCTGATATCGTATCCCAATATGGCGATGTGAATTCGTATTGACCGCTCAAGATACGCTCAAACAATTCCTCCTGTTCGTTATCTATCGACACGAATGGCGGAAAACCGCACAGGAGAATATATAGGATTACTCCGGCCGCCCATACATCAATCTAAACAAAATATATATTTATTGATATATATATATATATATATATATGAGATTCACTACATATATATTTTTTTAAGACAAATATCTAATGTAAATATATTTTTCATATCTTTATAGATTATCATTAATTATTTTTATATTCTTGTCTTTAAAAATATATTTCTTAAATATATATAAAAATTATACATATTCCGACTAATTAAATTTTAAGTTAACTTTATTTGCCAGACTTAATTACTGAATTTACTATAACAAGTCAATATACCTTTAAACCATATCCGGTTTCGGCGAGGATTTCCGGTGCCACATAAGTAGGTGTACCACAGACTGTGTATAAAGGTTCTCGCACTACTTGCGCAAGTCCAAAGTCACCCAATTTCAAGCATCTAACATGACTGCCATCCATCTCAACCAAAAGATTTTCCGGCTTTATGTCGCGATGTACAATATGATGCGAATGTAAGTAAGCCAAGGCGGAAGTCAAGTGACTGATCATCACACTTGCCTCTGCTTCGGAAAATTTCGTCGCCACTGCGATTGCATCGAATAAATCTCCACCCTAAAAAATGAGCAAATATGGTTTCAGTTATACTGCATTTTTAATTGCAATTAAATTTTACATTATAAATTAAATTAAAAATGTATCGTTATTAGTTTTCAACACCCTTAAATTTCTTTCAATGACGTACCTTAACGAGTTCCATGACTAAAAATAGCTGATCGACAGTATCTTGTTCCGCAATCAAGCTGATTATGTTGGGATGACAAACCTGCTTCAGTATCGCTACCTCACTTGCTAACATTCTTTCCCTTGACACTTGTACTTGTCCACAATTTTCATAGCATATTCAACACCGCTAGATCTAAAATATTATCAATGTTTTGCATTAATTTTTTTAAATGAAACATCCAAAATATCTTTGGCTAAATAAATTATAATATTGTATTATATATTTTGCATTCTATTTCTTTTATATAATATGAAATTTTACTAAATTTAGGAATAATTACTTGTGGGTGCAATGCCTAACAACAGCAAAGTTTCCATCTCCAATTATATGTCCTACGGTATAATGCATTCTCAGAGGCTGTGGCAGTATCAAAGATGATGGACTC